CGGCTGCAACCAAAAAATAGCCGGGCGTTGTGGAGGGCGCCTGTGGTCCCAGCTACTTGGGAGGCTGAGGCAAGAGAATCACTTAAGCCTAAGAGTTTGAGGTTGCTGTGAGCTGTGACACTTTGGCCCCCTACCAAGGGCAAAATAGTGAGACTGTCTCAAAAAAAAAAAAAAAAAAAAGGAAGGAGTTTCAAGCTTCAGAAAATAACTCTTTGAATGCAAAACTGACTTCAGAGTCCAACTTGACTTTCCCAGCTTCCAGGTAGACCATTTCTTAATCATTGCAGCTAATGCGCAGGGGTTACCGACTGTGTTTATATGGGCTTTACTAATGAAATCAACAACGAACACCAAGTCTCACATGTACTCACCTAAACTTTTCCAATCTTCTCTTCCCTAGTAAGCTTTTTTTCTTTTTTAAATGCCGTATATTCAAACCTTTCTGCATCACCAGCGGTGGGGAGAATTTGATCAAAGGGTTGTAGCCCTGAGAGCAGGTGTCACTCATGCTTGAAACTGCTGGCCCCACATGGAGTGGGGCTCATCTTTTTAAATCAGGGCAGTGCCTTTCAGCCCCGCCTGTGTTACTGTCCGTACTTTGTGGAATAGGTGTATCTTATTTTAAGACCATTTGATAGTGCTATTTTTCCATAACCTCGATGTGAGTTTCTACTTCCAAAAAAGTAGTTCCAGTAGTTAGTGTAATTTAACGATTCCCTCTGAAAATGTTTCAGGGTGTGTGTATTTCCTATTACTGCAATATAAAAATAAATCTTCCATCATCACCGTGTAACATCAGTAGGAATCCTTTATTGATAACCTAACAAGCAGGTAGAATCTAAGTATATAAAGTACTTTAAAATTATCCATACATCTCCAGAAGCCTTTTTATAAATACGATTTTTTAATTGTTATGTCAGGAAAAAATTAGCCATGAAAATTGGAGGAATTGAGTTGGGTACAGTGGCTCACGCCTCTAATCCCAACACTTGGGAGGCTGGGGTGGGTGGATTGCCTGAGCTCACAGGTTCAAGACCAGCCTGAGCCATAGTGAGACCTCATTTCTAAAAATAGCCAGGCGTTATGGTAGCTGCCTGTAGTCCCAGATACTTGGGAAGCTGAGGCAAGATAATCACTTAAGCCCAAGAGTTTGAGGTTGCTGTGAGCTCTGATGTCACAGAACTCTATTAAGGGCTATGAAGTGAGACTCTGTCTCAAAAAAAAAAGTATAAGGAGAAATTGTGAGCTGAAAGGTTTTCAGGATTAAAAGTAAAGGTTTTCATGGATTAAAAGTAAATCAGGCAAGAAAAAAAAAAA